CAGTAATGGTGACCATGGACTTCTGTGGGGTCCCCCCTGTGCTCCGACCCTGGGAGTAGTCACAGAGTGCACCCTTTGTCCAGGGAAAAAAGTGATTCTGTAGTGCCAGTTCTCACGTTTGCTGATAATGTGCTCTGCAACCCGACACCAAGGGCAAGGAGAGGCTTTGTTTTTCTTCTGTCTGGAATGCCAACCGCCAGACAACTGTGGCCGAAACTCTGATCTGTGTCCCTGCCCAGGTTACTAGGCTCAGCCACAGTTCATACTGCCCACTCCTGCAGGAATGCCCACCGAATCTCTGCTTCTCCTGGCTGAAGTAAGTGCCAGCCACAACCTGATTCCTCCCTTCTGTGCGTTGAGCCCTGCTGTGAACTCCCGGCTGTAGGGTTGCATCCCTGGCTCTTCTCAGCATTTCTCCCTTCTCGCCTCCCCAGTTTGCTTCTACTTGCCCACCTTAAGATGTGTAGATCTTTTAGGCATGTTGTGCATTGAACAGGGAATTCTTTGTTGAGTTATAAGGTGTTCAAATAGTTGAAATTTCAAGGGGAGAGAACAAAGGGATCTCTCAAACCACTATTCCTCTGTCGTCTCTACTCTTATTAATCATAAGAAAAATAATAAAAATTAAGATAAAAATTAATAAAACATGTTAATTACAACTGTGAACAATCTAATATTCAATATTAAAGAAACCATTTATGAAGAGAAAGCGACAGAAAAAAATGTCACAGATATATGTCAAGTAATATCAATAAACCTATCAGCCAGAAATTACCATTCCTTAGTAGGCAAGTATGAGTGCTCATTTCATTACCTTCCCAACACATTTTTATTATCTTTATTGAAAATTCTGAACACTTAATAGAACAGTTTGAGTTTTTGTATTTACTAAATTAGTATGAGGTATTTATTTGCATTTCTTTAAGTTAACTTTTTTCTAATTTTATTAGTCATCCAATTACTGTTCCTATAATTATTTTTTGTCCATCTACTGAGGAAGGAAATTAACATTTTATGTAGAAAGTATTTGCATAAGTTATTTAATAGCCTTGCAAAAAACCTTGAGGGTAGATGGCAGAAAACCCAATAATCCAGCATCTTGCTATTTAGAAATCTCAATTAATAGGAAATCAAAATTAATTCAGAAAACATTAGTGATCTGGCATCTGTAGCTCATCTATCAGCACCAAAAGCAGATGAGTTCTAGTTACGAATTTAAAAGAGCAAATGTATCAGGAATTAATCAGTTTGCATATAAAACTACATTGAATTTAGGGAGGTCTCTAAATAAAACTACAAAGAAGCAATACACTGTTACGGTTAAGAGGAGAGAGTCCAGAACCACCATCTCTGGGTTCAAATTGTAGCTCTTCTGCTTACTAATTATGTAGCCTTGGCTAAGATACTTAACTCTCTGGTTTCTTACCTGTAAAATGAAAATAATAACAGTATCTAGGCTGATAGGGTTGTTATGAGAAGAAAATGAGTGTGTTTGTATCTATAATACATACATACATATAAGCATATATACATACATAAATATATAGTGATTAGAATACGGCCTATCTTACAGAAACTACTGTGTGTTTACTTTTGTTACAAAAATGAGTTTATAAATCAGTCCCTCCTTGACTCTGTTAATTCATATAGCCTAGCTTGCTATTCAAATACTGTATTGTATTGTGACGATTTAAAAATATTTATATTTTAGCCCTGGCCGGGTGGCTCAGTTGGTTAAAGCATCATTCCATATACAGAAAAAAAAAAATTATATTCCTATACTCTAGCAATGAAAAATACAAAAATTAAACTAAGAAAACAATTCCATTTACAACTGCACGAAAGTACAAGTAAATTTAACAAAGGAAATACTCTGAAACTATAGAACATTGTTGAAAGAAATTAAAAAAGGCCTACTAACTCGAAAGACATCGCATGTTCATGGATCAGAAGGACCTAAACTGGTAAGATAGCAATGCTCCCAAAACTGACCTATAGATTCAATTTAATACCTAACAAAATCCCAGCTGCCTCCCCCATCCCCACAAATTGACAAACTAATCCTAAAATTCACACAGAAATTCAAGGAATCCAGAATAGCAAAACAATCTTGACAACAAATGATCAATTTGGAGGATTCACATTCCTGATTTCAAAACTTACTGTAAAGCTACAATAGTGAAGGCAGTGTGGTAACTGGCATAGGGACAAACAGAGAGGCATATAGAATAAAACTGTCAGTCCAGAAATACACCCTTAGGGTTATGGTCCACTGAATTTTCAACAAGAGTGCCAGGATAATTCAATGGGGAAAGAGTCAAACTGTGATGAAACAACTAGTTATCCACATGCAAATAATTAATTTTGACGCCCTCCTTTACACTGTATACAACAATTAACTCAAAATGGGCCAGGCACCTAAATATAAATGTTAAACTATAAAACTCTTAGAAGAAAACATAAGAATTAAGCCTCATGACCTTGGATTAAGAAATGGATTTTCAGGTGTGACACCAAAGCACAAGCAGTTCAATGGAGAAAGAACAGTCTTTTCAACAAATGGTGTTGGAAGTGGTTACTCAAACGTAAAAACAGATTCTCCTTTTAAAATGTACATCTTATAGAAAGATAAACTCAAATGGATCTCAGGTCTAAATTTATAACATAGAACTAAAACTTTTAGAAAAATAAACTTCATCATTTGAGGTTAC